CACGTTGGGCACGGAGCCGCTCTCCAGAGGGTCCTGGCAGCAGGAAGCCGGGACACCGCACGCCTGCGCGCCCGGAGCGCTGCAGTTGAAGTACCTGCGGGATGGACAGAGATGTGGGGTCAGGCACAATTTGGGGTGTGGGGATGGGGTCTCCTACACCCCCCCCAGCCTCAAAGCTGGACACCAGCCGTGGGTTCCAGCTCATTATCCCTCTCTTTCCTGGGCCATCCTGGGGCTCCCACCACCCCAAACACCAGTCCCCAGCACAGAGCCCACAAGGAACGGGGAGGTTTTTGACCCTGTGGTGGGCATGGGGTCCCACAAAGGAGGTTTCCAGCCCCATGGTAGACATGGGGTCCCCCACTACACCCCCCGGCCTGCACTCACGGGTTGCTCTCCCAGTCGTGGTAGGACTCGAGGCCGCAGCACTGGAGGCTCCGCTGCACCTCATCCACCAGGAACTGCAGGTCAGGATCCTCCTGGTAGCGCAGGAGGCAGAGGAGCAGCAGGTCCTGCAGCGCGTCCCGCAGCTGCCGTCGTGCCAGCAGCAGCAGGAGCCCCCCCAGCACCTGCAGCCCCCCAAAAGCCAGCACAGCACCCAGGAAGAAGCGCAGCAGGCAGGGGCTAGCTCGGAAGGCACCCAGGCAGCCAGCCAAGGACACGGCGCTGGCCCCCAGCCCCACCAGCACGAACAGCAGCATGGGGTCCGAGCCCAGGGGCACCCCACGCCCCCCCTCGGACAGGGGGCTCTTGGCCAGCAGCCCCCAGACCCCCACAGCGAGGGTCAGCAGCCCCAGCAGGAGGAAGAGGAGGTTCCAGAAGAAGGCCAGGTAGCGCATGCAGCAGCTGAAGGGGCTCAGTTTGAGGGGGTTGGGGGTCCACACCCCGGGATTCTGCTCAGCCGTGTCATCATCATCAAAGGAGGAGTAGGGCAGCTCCACCAGCCTGGACGCCTGCACGGACAGAGGAGCCACTCACAGCTCCCCAGAAATGTTCCTCCAGCCCGTGTACCTCACCCCACAGCTGGACACTGTCCTGGAGCCTCGCTTAGCCCCCAACCCACCGCTGCTCATCACAGGGGTCTGCAGGGGAGCACCCCAAAGACTCTGACCCCGAGGGACCCCCAGGGATGCAGTGCACAGGCAGCACGCTGCTACCGGGGGTGGGGGGACATGGGGTGCATGGGTTAGGGCTCCCGTGGGAGAGGATTGGGGGTCCCGGGATTACCTGGGGCAGCAGCCGGGTGCGCTCCCCGTGGGGCTGGAACAGGCGGACTCTGCTCAGCGCCATCGCCGTTACCTCGTGCCCGGACCCGTCACACTCCCATCATGTGAGGGGCTGCAGGCGGGCCTAAATGGGGCTGTGTGTGCCGCCCCACAGCTGGGCACGATCCCGCTACCCACCCACCGCCACAGCTGGCCCCGACCACCCCCAG